CTTTTGTTTTTGAGGTCGTTTCCGAGTTCATCTGACATCCTCTCGGTTGCCAGACCAGTTATGAATGAACCCTTTTGTTCAGGCTCTAGTCTGATGTGTTAATTGCTCTGCGGTGATATAAATAATGAGAGGCTGTTACAGCTGATTCCTGAAACAGCTGTCAAAACAAGGCCAATGATCTAGAACGTCAAAGTTCAATTAGTTCTCATATCAATCAAGGTCAGAAAATCACCCAAAAGTCCTCTTTATCAGCGCAAACGTCAGTGAGACCTGGTGGATGAAGAGGAAGCTCTTCTGATCCCAGATCAGCCGCCTTTAAACCTCCTTTTCATTCAGAATACACGGACATGGAGCTGTTTAATCCTCTGCTCTTGCTCAAAGGATTGTGACCAATGTTTCTTTAAATCAATTCTCCCACAAGTTCAACAGAACACCATTATTCCCTCTCTCACTCCTCCTTTGTTGAACCTGTCATAGAAACGATCAACCAAGCAGCAACAGCGACAGTAAAAGATCTACTTTTACAGCTTGTTTGGCAGCTAAACTCCCTTTTCTGTCATCCATAGAAACACATGGAGGGTAAAGTCATGTTGAATACACTGAAACAAGCCTTAAACGTATTACCTTTAACATGTTCTGCACTCTTTAAAAACAGACTAGGCTGCCGTCAAAGAGTTATTTAACAGCTGCAAACGGACATGTGGAAAATTCATTTTCATATCAATCAAGGTTGTGCAGATTTAAGGCGTCAGCGAGCTCATAAATCATCCGCTGCTGATGGGAGAGTGTGGATACTCCTGAGGGAAGCATTATTTACACAATCTGCTCACGGCTTCTGCAGGATCTGCACACTAAGCCCCGTCTCACTCGCTGATTTATGTTCTCGTAGCGTATTTCAAAGCTTTTCATAACGGGCCAGTATTTCACGGTTGAGCGTCAGTTTTTATCTCAAATTAAAATACTTATAAAGAAATAAATGCACACATGAGACAGTGAGTAGTGGAGCAATGCATCATTAAATATTCATTCTTCTGCCACCGTCCCAAAAAATCATTTTAACCGCTTTGAAGTCAGGAAACATCAAAAATACTAAATGTTGAATATTGGAGAACAATCGTCAATACAACTTTATTTACACTGTGATGGTTAACGATGGACTGTGAGGAGCATCTTAGACCACCACTAGAGAGTATAGTACGTTCTGCTTGTAATTGTTATAGATGAATATCTTACATGATAAGGGCGTCTTGTGTTATCTTATATTTAAATACACTTTTATAATGTACTAGTTTTAAAGTACCGTTATCTGTTTACTTGTTACCATGTTGTAATATGTTTCTATTTTAAACTGATGTCTTGATTATTGCACTGTGTTCATTGTTCATTGTTATGTATGTGTAACGTATTGAAACGCTTCTGGTTCTGATACAGTTGATAATATTTAGTTTTAACTACATTTTAGTCTTGTTTTTAGTTTGTCAACAATATTCCCTGTTGATTTTGACACAGTTATTGTTTAATAAAGTCGTACATAAGTCTAAGTCATAGTGTTTGTTGCTGAAACTATCGCTGGTACCGGTCCAGCGTTTCTGTCACAGCCAGGATGAAAACATTTCATTAGAAACTGGATGTCCATGTTGTTATAAAGGTGTTTTTCTTCACCAGAGTTATCTCGTCCTCACCTCCTCTTCTGTGATTGGTTGGCTCAGCTGAGGGAGACATGAGGAGCGCTTGGTTTGATGCATTGGACCTTCCTGCTCATGCAAGCACGGAGGAATGAGTCGTGATATTGATCTTAATACTATTAATTGTGCAGAGGGAGAAGACGTGCACTTGTTAGTGGACGGCAGTGAGACAAACACAGAGCATGAACCAGATCTTCTCTTCTCATTCCTGCATTAGAAGGCAGCTTTTTATGAACCTTGATCTAAATGTTCTCGTCCACATATCCTGAGACTCAACCCGCCATTTTTTCCCGCGTCCGTCGATCCCGCCGAGGCGCATCAGCCAGTCAGCGCACGTGTGAGCGGTCCACTCCGTATTTCTTTAAAGCGCGGCCGCTCTCAACAGGATATGAAAGATGAGGAGATCACAGACGGAGTCGGCAGAGACACAATAGCGGGCTGATGCTATCGGAGCCTCTCTGTAATTCTTGACGTGTACCAGGGAAGTTATTCAGCTGCTGCGGCTCTCGTTGCCCAGGCTGCTATTATTACAGGCAGCCAATAAGAAGCAGGGGGAGGAAGGATATCACTGCAGATGGAGGGAGCGGGGGGGTATTACAGGCACCAGGAAACAGATGAAGACACAGAGCCCATTAGTACGACTGCTGCCTCACTTTTCAATATTGGTTTAACGGGCCGTAGTTGATCCGTTTTAATGTGAACTGCAGATTAATTACACAATTAATAACCATCACTGTGTTTTACGGTCGACCGTTCTTGTTATAAGCGATCTGGAGATCGGTGCTGATGCTCTCTGCAGGTCGATCGATCGCTGGTAATGAACAACACATCTGTGTTTACATTGGTGAGCTAGCACCGTTAGCAGCACTGTTAGCAGCATGACAACATCTTCTTATCAATAAACATGCAAACCATTGTTTTCTGATCATTGTGTGTTTATGCAAATAACCTCTGACTATGATTACAACAAAGAAAGAAGATAACGTCTTGTAAATGAGATTTGTAATATCAATGCATAAATAAAAGTAAAATAAATGTTTATACATGTATACACCAGCTAACCCTCTGCTTATTACATTTAAGACTCGCTAGATTTAACTACAAAAATAAATACCTGAAAGTATCCAAACAGTTGTGTGAAAAAGTGTTTGGATCATTGTCCTGCTGCAGAACCCAAGTGCGCTTCAGCTTGAGGTCACGAACAGATGGCTGGACATTCTCCTGCAGGATTTTTTGGTAGACAGCAGAATTCATGGTTCCATTTACCACAGCAAGTCTTCCAGGTCCTGAAGCAGCAAAACAGCCCCAGACCATCACACTACCACCACCATATTTTACTGTTGGTATGATGTTCCTTTTCTGAAATGCCGTGTAACTTTTACGCCAGATGTAATGGGACATACACCTTCCAAAAAGTTCAACTTTTGTCTCGTCAGTCCACAGAGTATTTTCCCAAAAGTCTTGGGGATCATCAAGATGTTTTCTGGCAAAACTGAGACGAGCCTTTATGTTCTTTTTGCTCAGCAGTGGTTTTCGTCTTGGAACTCTGCCATGCAGGCCATTTTTGCCCAGTCTCTTTCTTATGGTGGAGTCATGAACACTGACCTTAATTGAGGCAAGTGAGGCCTGCAGTTCTTTGGATGTTGTTCTGGGGTCTTTTGTGACCTCTTGGATGAGTCGTCGCTGCGCTCTTGGGGTAATTTTGGTCGGCCGGCCACTCCTGGGAAGGTTCACCACTGTTCCATGTTTTCACCATTTGTGGATAATGGCTCTCACTGTGGTTCGCTGGAGTCCCAAAGCTTTAGAAATGGCTTTGTAACCTTTTCCAGACTGATAGATCTCAATTACTTTGTTTCTCATTTGTTCCTGAATTTCTTTGGATCGCAGCATGATGTCTAGCTTTTGAGGATCTTTTGGTCTACCTCACTTTGTCAGGCAGGTCCTATTTAAGTGATTTCTTGATTGAGAACAGGTGTGGCAGTAATCAGGCCTGGGTGTGGCTAGAGAAATTGAACTCAGCTTTCCAAAGATGTGATAAACCACAGTTAATTTATGTTTTAACAGGGGGGGGGGCAATCACTTTTTCACACAGGGCCATGTAGGTTTGGATTTTTTTCCCCCTTAATAATAAAAACCTTCATTTAAAAACTGCATTTTGTGTTTACTTGTGTTATCTTTGTCTAATATTTAAATTTGTTTGATGATCTGAAACATTTAAGTGTGACAAACATGCAAAAAAAATAAGAACTCAGGAAGGGGGAAAACACTTTTTCACACAACTGTATTATATGTTTGCCGTTACCTTTGATTATATAAATCTTTCAGTCTGTAGAACGTCTTCCGTGATGTTCCGTGTTGTGTTATTTGTGTTCCTCTTCGACATCGTTCTGTAAACTTCTAACGTTTTCCTCAAAGCCTCAACGAGCTGGAATGATCCCGATGACTTCAGTCACACTTCTGTAAACCTTCGCTGAACACCAAGAGGGAGAACAATAACGCGAAGAGCCTCGGTTATTACTCACATAAATAGAGTCGGCGGCTGGAGGAGGATTAGTGTCGGACTCTGTCGCTGCTTCATGAGAGTCATCAGGACGTCGTGCGGCTGCCAGCGATGCTTTCTGTGTCGTTACTCAATTAACAGCAGCACTTCAGCTCTGGAGGAATAAAACTCTTTTAGACGCATTCTGCTCGCAGTAAGAAAGAAAAAAGGACTTCTGTTATTACTCAATTAGAGACGCGTTAATGCTGGAATCAATACGTAAACAACTTCTTACAAAATATCGTTGTCCTTACTAAGTTATGCATTTCATACAAAATATAACCAAAAGGGCCCAAAGTACAAACATTTCACACGTTTACCGGCAGCTACAGAACAATAATGGTTCTTAACGGGCTCTTTAAAAGGCTGTGTGGTTCCACGAAGAACCATCAGCTACTAAAAGAACCATTTGATCCATTGAATGGTTCGAAGTGTTTGGGATATTAAAAGGTTCTTAATTCATGTTTGAGGTTTTGGACGATGGTATAAATTTGCACAAAAATAATTGAAAAAGGTTCTTTAGAGAAAAAGAATTCTGGTTCTTTGAAGTTCTCTTCGAAGTTCCTTAAACGTTTATTTATTGGTTCTAATCGTATTTATTAATAAATGTATCTTTACTGTGGATCAACGAGCGTTCGCCCACTGCTTTTCCTGCTCTTTTAAGGAACCGTTTCAGGAACTGGTTCTTTGAAGAACATTGGTGGGAAAGGTTCTTTGTGGAACCTTTGAAATGGTTCTCCTATGGCATCACTCTAAAGAACCATTTTGGGTTCAAGACGGAACACTTATCTCTCTCTGTGGTACTGGAAACATGAACTCCACTCAGCCTGTTCAACAACTAACAATGTGTTTATTGTTAAGTTGTGTTACGTTGTGTTAAGTTGTGCAGTTGTGCATTTCATACAAAATAAAACCAAATGGGCCCAAAGTACAAACATTTCACGTTTTCCGGCAGCTACTGGAAACACAAGTTGCACTCAGCCTGTTGTACAAATTAAAATCCTCGTTAAATACACATTGTTGTGTTGTGTTGATCTTTTGAGGATGAACGAGAAGAGAAGCGTCGATGTCCGTCTTCTAATACTCTTGGTTTTGGTGTCAGCTCAAAGTGTTCTGGTCCTATGAAGGGGGCGTGGAAGGTAAACCTGTTCCCTGGTCTTGTGGGGGTCTTATCTGTCCGAGGTGAGGAGACATCCTGACCTCCACATGCAGATGGAGAACAAAGGGAACTCTTCTGACAACTGAAAGACTCGCCGCTCAAAGTGAGCGAGGAAGCCCGTCTGATCCGACCCCACCTCCACCCGGGACGGTACCTCTGACTTCTGCAGCAGCTCCTCCAGGATCCAGAACAGGTAGCACGAGTTCTGATACCGGTCCACGGGGAACCTGTCCAGAGACGAGCCGTCCGGCCCCTAAAACAGGAAGTGACATCGTCGTTAGCGACATCGTCGCTGATCGGACGGCAAACTGAAAACACTGAGATGAAGATGTGAAAGTCTCACAACGTCTTTAAGAGGGTTTTAGAGGGTTTGTTTTCGGACCCTCGACATGCAGACAGTTTAAACTAGAGTATTATAGAAAGCATGAATAAGGATCAGTGGAGCACTGAACGACAGTTATTCGTTGTTTCTTGTAAGAGACATTTGTGTCCTGTTTTTATATATTTATTTAAGTTTTTTATAAATGAAAAATTAAGAAAATCACTTAAAGAATGGTTTAACTTCTCTCCTCTGCTCCATGTCGGTGTGGAAAAATGTAAATGAAATACATGAAGTCTGGAAAAACAAAACGGATCATTTTTTAAAATGTGTATTTCTCCAACGTTACCCCCCCCAAACAACATAGAAAAGGCGTCTAGTCGTCGTGTTGAACCTGGACTAAATCACGTTGAAAGGTTTTGTAGATTATTTTATTTGATGACTTTATCTTCAGTAACCAGATCTTAAAGGGTAAAATCCTTTACACAGCCTACATGCTGACTTGACTACTTTTGGTCTCTATCTGCTGATTCAGCAGCTTTTTCTTGGGCCAAACCAAACCCAAACGGTCCGCTTCCAACAGGATCCTCTGCTCGCTGCCATCACAGCCTTCTGGCAAAATCTCCGAGCAGCAACGGCGGCTTTGAACCCTCGAACATTGGGACGTGTGAGAGCTGCCGGAGCTCGACCAGCACACTAAAGAAGTCTCTGCTGTACGACTGATCGGACTCATCCGTAAGAAACCAGCAGAACATGTCAATCATTGCACGTTAAACCAACTCTGGAGCAACGCTTCAGGGCGGAGAGATGATGTTATAACGTGCTGCAGAGACAAGCGCTTCAACGACACGTGACAGTGAGATTGTTTGAGGAACACAAATATTAATTATTCAAACTAACAGAAGCTACTGTGTTTCTTCTTCTAGGCTTTTGTTAATGTGTGTGTGAGTGTGTGTGTTTTCGTGTGCCGAGACGCCACGGAGGAAAAAAACAACCTCCAGATGGCTGTCAGGTATTCCTCTAGGCCGAGCTTTCAGAGAGCTGACAGAATGTGACAACACCTCTTAACCCCTTAAACAAACACACACACACACCCACACACCCCAACACACACATGGATGAGCTTCTCCACAACAGCCACAGTGAACCTCGACATCAACACAAATGGGAAGTTATACGCAAAACTATTACAGAGAAGGATTCATTGGTCATGAAGTCTGAGGACTCAGGCTCCAATAATGCTCATAAACATGTATGAATGAATAAACAGAGCACCCAAAGGCCTTCACACGAGGTGCTTTTGTGGTAAATACTGAGCAGATACACTAAATATGTGACGATCAGCAGGAAGCTTGACATTAATGTAATTATAGAAGATATGCACGAGAAAATCTTCAGCTTTCAGAGTCCAAACTATATCTAATAACAAAGTATTTTAACAACAGAGCGGAACATATTTAACCTTCGTCGGCCCCGTGGCTCGATGCCTTATCTCCTCATCTGATATAAAGCACGGAGCTCATCTCTCACTTATGAATATTGATGAATATCCACTGTGTTTATTGTTCGGTCAATGGTTTTGGGAGATTTATGGAATTTGTAATGTAATTTATTCGTGTTTTGAAGTAAAACTCCAGTAAGCAGACTCACCTCTTTATAGATTGGATGATAATCGTTGTATTTTAGTGTCATGTCATCAGATTCTCAGTCTCAGTTGTAGTAAAAACACTCAGTTTCATCATAATCTACGTGATCCTGGTCATAACATTAATATCGAACTTTAAGATGAAATAAAAACACGTTGGAACGGTAATAGAAACAGAATTACTTACAATAGTTTCATATTATTCAGCTTCTTACCTTTCAAAGGAGACCAGAAACATGTTTATAATCCTCATGGATCATGGATCTATTCCTGTTAGTTTATTGCTATTTATTCTGCTGGATGAGGTGAGAGCCAAACACCTAACAGGCCTCATGGATTAAATATTGTACAGTTATTATTAAAGATGGTTAGAGATGAGGAATCGTCTTTGACTGCTGAGCTTTAGGACCTCACTGCTGTGTGGTTGAAGGTACTGTACTTCATGTATATACAGTATTTAGACATATTTGGTGGCAGCAGCGTGACACAGAGGACTCAGATATTCAGTCTGCTGCAGCAACTTGTCAACGAGATGGAAAGGACGTATTTCATGGGGTGGGGGGGGGGGAGCGCAGCATGACGCGGTTCTGCAAAGTCCTGGTCTGAAAGAAGCTCTTGTGAACGGTTCAGGTGTTCAGACTCAGGGCGTCTCTCTCTAGAACTCAGCACAGTGAAATGATTCCTCGTCACCCTGCGAGTGCTCCACTGGAGCAGTCGATCCGTTTAATACCAAAATAAATAAACGCATGACAACATGAAATGAAATGAAGCTGCAAGTGTGTGAATTAGAGGGTTTACTACGTGGAGGATGTCATGCTTTATTTGGAACATGGCTTCAGTCGACCTGACGGAGCGTGTCCTATTTGCAGGCTTTGCCGTTAATTAATATGCAGATTTTTAAACCAGAAAAACAACTTGAAGCTTTGAGCACACTTTCATTCTGCAGGTCTCATCATCATCATCATCATCAACAAGAAGAAGAAGAAGAGACAGTTTAGAAGCTCTTCAGCCACCTCACTCATCTAAGATCAATGGCTCCTATTGGTGACAATGTTCATGATCACTTCATCTATTGATCTTTCAATTAGTCGACTAATTGTTTAGCCTCTGAATGTCAGAAAATGATGAAAAATCTTGAATTTAAATGTCTAGTTTGGACCAACAGTCCAAAACTCAAAGATATTCACTTTATTATGATACTAAAGCTGGAGGTAAACGATTGTATATTCTAAGCTACCGTTATCTATTTTATTGAGTTTCCTTTTAGCAAAATGCTCTCAGCGAATTTGAGTTAACCCTCTGGTCAACAGTCTCAGGCTTTTATTGTGAAAGGTAAGAACAGAAGCAGTGGAACCTGTCTGCGCTGCCTTCGTCAAGGTTGAAAGAAGGTAAAGTTTTCCCTGTTGGATTGGACTAAGTAGCCTCTGTGTTGTTTAAAATATAGTGTAGGTTTTTAATATGTCCGATCTGCTCTGATCTGTTTGATGACTTTAATATTAGTTGTAAAAGCTCAGAAATATCGAGCTCATCGTGTCACAAAACAGACCACTGAACTATCTGCACAAAGTACCGCCATTATTTACTCTTCCAACACCGACATACGATCAGAATGAAAACTAAAGCATCAGCATTCAGGAGTCCGGTTGGTTAGAGAGAGTCCAACATATTCCCACTTTCCTCTCCAACCCGTCAACCCCAAGAACTTATGAAGCCATGAAGCAAGTCGATGGAGGGAGGAGATCGATAACTGGGTAGAGAATCTACGGGGAGCCGTGATGGAGTATCTGTGAAGGGTGTATGGGGGTATATATATATATATATATATACACTTCATATATATACAGTGGGTACGGAAAGTATTCAGACCCCTTTAAATTGTTCACTCTTTGTGTCATTGCAGCCATTTGCTAAAATCTAAAAAGTTCATTTTATTTCTCATTAATGTACACTCAGCACCCCATCTTGACAGAAAAAAACAGAAATGTAGAAATTCTTGCAAATTTATTAAAAAAGAAAAACTGAAATATCACATGGTCATAAGTATTCAGACCCTTTGCTCAGTATTGAGTAGAAGCACCCTTTTGAGCTAGTACAGCCATGAGTCTTCTTGGGAATGATGCAGCAAGACGGAGGGAACAGGAAGTGCACAGAATGCTTCTCTGATGCTAGGCGCTAGATTACATACACAGTCAACGCAAATAGACGCGAGTAAACACGAATTACGGCACAAATTTAGCTAGCGTAGCTCAGCACCGATCGATCCAAACTCCATTCAGAAAACAAGTATTTAAAAGTTATTTGCTCGTCGTCTTGAGGCCGTTAATTGTGATTAAATCTGTTTATTTTGGGTTCATACAGCTGTAGTGAACCAGCCGGCGTATACAGTGAATACTCCTCCAGATGAGGTTATCAACCAGACAAGACAGTTCGTCTTAGTTACCCAGATATCTGGGACTTTTACAACAAGTACTAAGCAGACATAGAGGTTATTCATTCCATGTTAGATGGCGGAAATAAATGACTTAATAACGCAGATATTTGGAGATAAGAACGCTAGAGGAAGTGACGGAGGGCCCATCTGCATGTAAGCAGAGTCCCTTTATTTCTTCTCTAAGTGAGGGTGAAAACAGCAGGACGGACTGATTGAGCTGTCCGTCGGCTCGTTAGCGCTCCTCTGGGGATCCGGCGGGCCGACGGTGACGGGGTTCGCTGCAGCCTTTCAATAATTCCGATGAACTAGCATCACAACAATCTTTATCCTCCACATGGCCTCTCCCAGCTGAAGGTGGGACCAGAGGGTTCAGGTGAGGCTGAGGTTATTTGGAACCATCGAGGAGTTCTGGCTGTGAAGCTTGGCAACATGATTCTGAATAATCGGCAGGAGGTTGCAGAGGCTCATGGCCTAACTGTGTCCTTGAGGTGTTGATTAGCTACCCTGAGAACCAGCTCGTCAGAACCCAACTCACTCCTCTGAGTTTGCATACTGCAGCAGCATCACAGCAGGCGTTCAGTCGGTATGTGAGTATGTTGCCATGTTCCTTAACATTGCCTCGACTGTAAGAATTGTAAACGTACTTCATATGCTTCAAACCCAACAAACACTTGGACTGCAGCACTTAAACAGCTGCAGCTGTAAACAGGTGACTGTTTCATTACAAACTAGCCACAAAGCTGGTGTTTCTGGAGACATAATGTGCATATTTTTGGGGGCTTTTTGTTGCAGAGATCTTTGAAAGAAGCACCTGCGTACTGTAGGAACCCCGTTAATCCCCTCTGGTGGGATTTGGGG